AGAACTTTAGTAATTTTGTCTATTACTGTTATAAATTGTTTACTGATGTAGTAATTTTACCCACTACTATGGTAATTTTATTCACTATTGTTGTAATTTTTTCTATTACTGTTGTAAATTTCTTATTAATGTCGTAAATTTTTCACTGATATTGTAATTTTTTCCACTATTGTGACAATTTTGTCTACTAATGTCGTAAATTTTTCATTAATATTATAATTTTGACCACTATTATGGTAATTTTGTCCATAATTGTTGTAAAATTTTTCACTAATATTATCATTTTGTCCTCAATTAGTATGTAAAAATTTTAAAAAGCAACTGGTGACTTCAGTTGCCTTTGCTTTGCTTTTACATATAGTCGTTGTTGTTGTCTTTTGTAGCCAAAATATAGCCTTTTGTAGATAAAAAACTTTTCGATATGGTACCAAAAAAGGTGGGTGGATGTATTGTAGACAAACCGACTCACTTTTTGTCCACAATACATCCACTCACCTTTTTGGTACCATATCGAAAAGTTTTTGCCTGTAAAAGTTGTATTTTGGCTGCACGTTTAAAAGCAAAGCAAAGGCAACTGACTATTATAGTAATTTTGTTCACAACGATTTACCTACAATACATCCACCCACCTTTGTGGTACCATACCAAAAAGTTTTTGCCTGCAAAAGGTTGTATTTTGGCTGCAGAAGACAACAACAACGACTACATGTAAAAGCAAAGCAAAGGCAATTGACTATTATGATAATATTGTCCACTATTATTGTAAATTTTTTCATTATTATTATATTTTTGTACTCAATTAGTAAGTACAAATTTAAAAAGCAACCAATGACTTCAATTGCCTTTGCATTGGTTTTACATGTGAAAAAGGTGGGTGGATGTATTGTAGACAAATCAAATCCAGCCACTTTTTTGGTACCATATTGAAAAATTTTTGCCTGCAAAAAACTAAATTTTGGTTGCAGAAGCCAAAAACAACGACCACGTGTGAAAGCAAAGCTAAGACAACTGAGTATTACGGTAATTTTATCCACAATTGTTTAAAATTTTTCTATATACTATTATAATTTTGTCCTCAATTAGTATATTACGGTAATTTTATCAACAATTGTTTTAAAATTTTCTATTACTATTATAATTTTGTCCTCCATTAGTATTTACAATTTTAAAAAGTAGCCGGTGACTTTAGTTGCCTTTGCTTTGCTTTTACACATGATCGTCGTCGTCGTCTTCTGCCGCGAAAATATAATATTTTACAAGTAAATTTTTTTTGATATAAAAAAAAAAAGCGGGTGGATGCATCGTAGACAAATGCCAATTTATGTGTCCTGCACACCTGTGGTGACGCGAGGACAAGTCTCCTGAATCAATTTCTTCCGATCTTGTCATGTATATTTCATGAGAAAATATTCCAAGCTGGCACCATTATGTGTATTTCATGCATGCGCACTGCTCATTGACAGCAACATCTCAGATCAGAGTACGATTCAAAACTCATGTTTATAACGTGGGAAAAATATTTAGGAATGTCAATTCATGTTATATTATAGTGTATTTTTTGGATTATGTTATTAATTTTTTTTATCGTGTTTGTGTAAGTATTCTTGTTAATAAAAAAAATAATTAATTTTAAAACAATTCATATGATATTCTATAAAAAAAATTTAAAAATTATAAAATATCTATTTTTTTACTTACAATATCTGTTAACCATGCTATTTTTTTCTAACTTTTTCTCACACCCATTTATTTTCCGTTTTAATCAATTATTTTATTTTCAATTTCGTGTCGTGTGCGTGTGTGGTAAGTAAAATTGACAGCCCTACAACCGAATGTTTGCAATACAATTATTTTATTCCTTGAAAATAATGGCCTCATTGTGCCTTTATATTCAACTTCAGTGTTGTAGGCATGGAGAGTAACAATTTTTTAACATGTATTTTCTGATATCATTATTAGTTGAGATTGATGTGGGTATTAGGCTGTAGCCGTTGTTTTTCATCGTTGATCATTGGTCTTTCAATTACAGGATTTTTTATACGGTACATATGTGTATTTATATGTTCTCTCTTTACTCTATCATTGTCTTTGGCATAGAAAATATTTCTTTTTCATTATTCCTAAAAGTTTCATGGATCTATTTGACTGAATTTTGTGGAATTTAGTACGAGTTTGATATCGTTCTCAATTTTAGAGAGTGTGAATTATGTTTTCTCGTACAAGCGTTTTTTGCGGTTTGATTCGTTATTTGTTTTGGCAATCCCACTTTCAGATGCATGTATTTGTTTTGCTTTGTTCCATCACTATCTATTGCACCTAGAATTGTTTCTAAACCACTTAAGGGATTAACATGGTTAGTGTTCATGAATAAATAAATATAACTGTGACATTGTATGATATGGTGCTAATGTATGAGCCGTTAAGGTCAATAAGCAATTAAAATTACATTTTTTAGTATAAATATAAATGTTCTTTCACAACATGAAAAATTGTCGTAATATGAATTTGATTCATAGTAATAATAGCCACATGTGTATACTTCCTATGAAGGTGAATTATTTAACTTCACCCTTGGCATCTTCTAGAATTCTTAAAGTAATTTAAGTTGATAATGTACAAAAGTGAATTTATGCACTACCTGTTTAATAATTAATATGGGTATTAAATGCAATAAATATAAAGATGAGATCAACACAAGTAACACAAATATAGAGTGGTTCGGTCAGGATGATCTACTCTACTTTAAAGGAGGCGACGGTGGTCGATGAACTTTATTGATAAAGTAATAGGTGGGAGAGAGAGAGAGCAAGAATATTCTCAAGGTGAAATGTGTCAGAGATAGCTGTGAGAGAGATGTCTCTCCCTCATGTGTAGACGACTTACAATTTATAGGCATAGAGCCTAGCTGAGGAGGTGACGTGAAGGTCACGTTACTAGTTTTTTGGGGATGATTGTTACAATTAAAGATAGGTGTTATCTTCGAGTAATGGTTATACCAATGTTTACTCCCCCGCGTGCATTAATCTTCTTGGATTTTTGATCTTTGGACTGGACTGAAGCCATGAGCTAAGCCTGGTCTGCCTTTTGATGGTTTGAATTTAACCCATGCTATGGGTTTAGATTTGATCTAAATCTGAGCTCGTCATAAACAATACTTAATTTATACTTTTCTCTGTCTTCATATTCTTGTTTTTTCTTTTAATTATAACGGTAATATCTCCATCTCGGCTGCCCTTGGATAACATTAACTATAGCAATTAGTGGCATTTTCTAATGTCTTCATTCCCGTTTTAAAAACTTCTTGACTTTACAAATTCCTGGAGTTAAAGTTCAGTGAATATATCAACTATCAATTGGAAGGCTTCAACAAACAACCCACAGTGATGTTGCAAGTCCCGTAATTGCCCATTGAAGTGAGGATGTATATTTATTGAGCAACCTACACGAACTTAAAAGATAGACTTGATAATTACAACTATTAATTTTTTTATAGGTCCTAACATTTATTGTGACTTACTACCTGTTCAATAATTATAATTATCAAGTTTATTTTTTAAGTTTATATAACATTACTTATATTTATTAGAATATTACATGTTCTACATGGTTCACCCAACTTATTATATTGTCTTATTTTTTATGCCGGGCTGATGGTACAAATCAAGTCTATTAAATTTATTTAATTATTTTGGTTAGTATTTTTTTTGTGTTTTTTTTAGTACAATTTAGATTCAGATTGATTAATTCTTAATGTTTACCAAAATTCTAGATTTTGAAAAAATGATCTACTACTACTTCATATATAGTATTTTATTCTTACAATGATTTATGTGCAGAACACGTGTGCACCAACTAGCTAGTGGTTGTAAGTGTGGACAAATTAAGCTTCTTTTTTTACCTTTATGCAATGTTAGCTTCATTTTTTCTCTTCAATTCCATACTTTCCAACATATTTGTTTTTTGGGCAGTTCGATTTGAGTCAGGTTCACCCTAACCTTCTAGTAGACGTGACCCCTGAGGAGGTATTGTTATGAACATATTTGAGTTGGATCTTAGAGCTGCATATTTATGTTAGTACCTTCACATGGAAATGTATAACTGATTTAAAACGGTGAATACACGTCTACTAAATATCACATGCGAGCTCTTTCTAATATTCTAGATATCACAAGAAGCGAATTGACACGAAATAATCGAATTTGAGTTGAACATTTGTAGGTTCGTATGGTAAAGGACCATCAAATAAATAATTGTTAAACCTGTCAAATAAATGGGTCGGTACAAAACTAGCTAAATACGATACGAATCTATTAAACACGATTTATATATAACACAAAACTTGATACGACACACTTCCGACAAAAATTGTTTATAGTTTACAAAATTATGCATTAACAGGTTTCAGCTACACAACATTTCCGTGCTTATCTTACAATCTGCAACCATAATGCTGTAAACCCACTAAATGAATCCATAATTCAAGAAATTGAGCTGTTTTTTTTTTGGCCCCGCGGGGGTGGGGGAGGGTAGGTAGTCCTGAAGGTTTGCACAATACTTTAACCTTAAGCAGAAAATTGCATGCTAATTAATAACATCATCTTTCTCTGGGTTAACATTGAAAAATCATAGCCGATGATGAATAAAAGTAGATTTATGCACAATTAAATCAGTTGAGTGTATGATACAAGACAATAAGAGACAAATAGTCAAACTATCCCTTGACCAAGTTTCATCTTTTGGCTTGCTAGCAGATGAAAATTGCCCCCCAAGATGCCCGGCAGACCCACCCCAGCCTACCACCAGATCCCCCACCACAACTAGATCTACGGCTAATACTCATCCACACGACCACCAAGCTCTTAACTTTCACTTCCACCAACTATACCACTACAATCACCCAACCTGCCACCATCACCACCAGATTGCCCTCCATCCTCACCTCTCTCTATTTTGTTTCTTTGCTCATCTCCTTTCTGCTTCCCTCATCTGGGTTCTTTGAAATGGTGGTTTCCAAATCTGCACCTGACCAAGACTTTGCAATTACAAATCTGGAGGTTGTTATTGGTAATCAGAAGAACAATATCCTTCATGAAAACAATTCACAACTACTGAGCAACGTCATAGCAATTGCGCCCAATGCTGTGAGTCAGGCACCGAGTTCATCACACGTTGTTCAAGGTGAAAATTCAAAAATTGAAAACCAGAACATGCCTGCTAGTCAAAGACAAGACACATCAGCTTTAGCTCTTTCCAATACTACTGATAAGACGACTGCTTTTCCCAGAAATAATGGGATGGGCAAACCCAGTTTGGATCCTAACAGACCCAACTCATGGTCACAAGTGGTTTAGAACCCAAATGGAACCAATTCCATTCCAATGGAGCAGGAACACCCCCCCATGAAACTAAAGTACTTTAAACCCAAGTTGAATGAAAATAGAATTCTAGTTTCTCCCCCTGGAGTGGTTGCTTGCAAAGGCTATTGTAATTGGGGAAATACACTAGTGGGATACTTTGTGGAGAAAAAACTTCCATACTTAGTTGTTAATGGTATTGCCCATAAGCTTTGGGACAAACTTGGTTTAACAGAGGTTTTGGCAAATAACAAGGGATTCTTCTTCTTCAAGTTTTCTTCTGAGCAGGAATGTGGTAGAGTGCTTGAGATTGCCCCATGGATTCTTATGAGCAGACCACTTAATCTTCAGAAATGGCAGCCAAATATGGAGCTCACATTGGTCTCTCAAACTATGATTCCTGTTTGGGTGTATCTACGAAATATGCCATTGGAATATTTGACTGATGAAGGCCTAAGCTATGTTGCTAGTGCAGTGGGCAAACCATTGTGTGCTGATAAACTAACGGAGCAATGTAAAAGACTCAGTTATGCAAGGATTTGTATTGAAATAGATGCAAGCCATGATCTTATAGATTCTTTTGATCTTAGCCTAGGTGATTCAAAGATCATGGAAATTAAAGTTGAATATCCTTGGAAGCCAAAGGTATGCCATGCCTGCAAAGTCTTTGGGCACTCTATAACATCTTGTTCCAAAGCATCTCCCCAGCAAAAAGCACCTTCCTAGTAGGTTGCACCTCCCCAACAGGCAATGCCTAAGGAGACTTGGAAAACTCTTAAAAGCCACAAGTCAGCAAAAGAGGGGAATTGGAAAGGGAAAGAAGTGGTCTCATTCCTTAAAGTGGTTGATCAAAATCCTATAAATCCCCATGCAGCAAGCATTTTGCCATCTAGTAGTAGCCAGTCCAAACCCACTAGTGATACTCATGTTAATGATACTAACTCTGTTGCCCCAGTTGATACTTAGATCCTGCAAACCAAACAACAAGTCTCCTACCCTGCAGTTGGCAAAGAAGTCCCTGAAGTCATGCCAATTGAATCCGCCAACAGATTTGCTGAATTGAAAAAGGAAGAAGATAGTCCTCCAAATAATTGCAGCCCTTCCAGAAGTCAAGAGGAGCAAGTATCGGCTTCTTCCTTTGATAATTCTTTCCTCAAAGATTTGGTAGCCTCTAAAAGTAAGAAGAAAAAGAAGAAGAAGCTCTCCATAAAGTCTGGTAGCACTAAGCTATTTGGGTGACTAACCCAAAATCCCCCCAAATCCTCATGATCAATATAGGATGTTGAAATTCTAGGGGTCTCAATTCTCCTATTAAACAAGGAGAGGTAAGGAACATCATCTTGACTTAGTGGGCATTGTTGAAACTAAAGTCAAGTATATTAATAAAGATGAAGCCATAAGGTTCACCTAAAGAGATTGGGAATATATGTATAACTATTATAGTCACAATTTTGGAAGAATATGGGTTGGATGGAACCCATTGGTCCTTTGAGTCCAAAAATTGGAGGAAACTGAGCAAATTATCCATTGTTTTGTCACACACATAGACAATAACACAACTTTTGTTATATTATTTATTTATGCAATTATGGAGGAACATTACTTATCAAGCCCAAGCATTGTGAATAAGCCATGGGCTTTATTGGGTGATTTTAAAGCAATCAGAAACCTTCAGGAGACCTTGAGGGGCATTGAGAACTGGAATCAGTGTATGTATGATTTTGAGAATTGTATTCAAGGTGCAGATCTAAGTGACCTTAGATTCAGAGGTCTTCTTTACACTTGGTCAAATAATAGGAATCCTGGTCTATCAGATCACAGTCCAAGCATTCTCAGAATGGGTGTGTTAAGGAAAACTAGAAAATGTCCATTCAAATTTTATAACCACCTCACTCATAGAGATGACTTCCAGCAAATTGTCTCTAACATATGGACCAATCCTGTTTTGGGCACTCTTCAATTCTAAGTCTTCACCAAGCTGAAAATGCTTAAACAGGCTTTCAAGGATCTAACCAAACCCCAAAGTGAGAACGTTACCATAAGGGTCCAAGCCTCTAAGATGGAGCTTGACAAATGTCAAAGGCTTTTAGGGTATTTTCCTATGGATGCAGCCCTGAGATTTCTTGAGAAGCAACTCCTCCAGGATTATATTATTGCAGCAAAAAATGAGGAATCCTTTCTGAGGCAAAAGTCAAGAGTTCAGTAGCTTAAAGATGGAGATCATAATTCAACTTTTTTTCTTCAAAACCATCAATTCTAGAAGAAACCGAGATAAAATTCTATCTATAACCAGAGTAGATGGGACTACATCCAATGAGCCTGAGGGGATCCAGCATATTGTTATCCACCATTTCCAATCCATTCTTGGCAATAGTTCTTCATATGCACAATACAGGTATAGGGAGCTTCATAACTTTTCATGGAGACAACTTTCAGATGAACAAGTTTTGCATCTTTCTATTCCTATCACTGAGGATGAGATCAAGAGGGCATCTTTCTCTATTCACTCCAACAAAGCCCCAGGTCCTGATGGCTTTAATGGACACTTTTACAAAGCTGCTTGACCTACTTTTGGTGAAGATATTTGTGCAGCAGTCTTGGAATTCTTCACTAGAGGTCAATTGTTGAAAGACCTCAATAATACCATCATTTTGTTAGTTCCTAAAGTCCCTAATCCTTCTAAGATTGAAGACTTTAGACCAATTTCATGCTGCAACACTCTTTATAAAATCATCTCCAAGGTTATAGCTTCTAGAATTAAGGAGGTGTTCTCTGATATTGTTTCTCATAATCAATCAACTTTTGTACCTGGAAGAAGGATAGGGGATAACATTCTCCTTGCACAAGATCTTATGAGGAATTATCACAAGGATATGGGATCGCCCAGATGTGCAATAAAGGTTGATTTTATGAAGGCTTTTGACATGGTTGATTGGAATTTTGTGATGTTCACTCTCAAGAGATTTAACTTTCCATCTAATATGATTTCTTGGATCCAAGCTTTAATCACAACTCCTAGATTTAGTATCAACCTTAATGGGGAGTTAGTTGGTTTTTTTCCTAGCAAGAGGGGTATTAGACAGGGCGATCCTCTGTTCCCCTATCCTTTTGTCCTCATCATGGAAGCTTTTACTCACATTCTTAAAGCTAAAATTGCTGCTTCAGATTCTTTTAAGTACCACTGTAGATGTAAAGGACAAAAGTTGGTTCATTTGTGCTTTACAGATGACCTTTTCCTCTTCTACCATGGCTCTCTTCCCTCAGTTGTTGTGTTGAAAAGAGCTTTGGATAAGTTCCAATCCCTGTCTGGTTTGAGTGCAAATGTAGTTAAGAGCCAAATCTTTATTTCTGGGATCCCTGAGACACAAAGGACTAAATTATCTCTTGCCTTGGATTTCGGTTGGGGCAGCTTCTTGTCAAGTACTTGGGTATCCCACTCATTTCAACCAAGCAGAGGCCAAGAGATTGTGCAATTCTGGTGGACAAAACTGAAGCTAGAATAAAAAGTTGGACTAACAAATTTCTCTCTTATGCAGGTAGGCTTCAACTTGTGAAATCTGTTATGTGCAATATGCAAAACTACTGGTTAAGCCATTTGATCCTTGCCAAGAGTGTTCTGAAAAGAGTTGAGCAGTTACTAAGATCTTTCCTATGGTCTGGCAACAAGCAAAAGAAAGAAGCCTCTAAGGTGACTTGGGAGATTGTCATTAAATCAAAAGAGGAAGGTGGTCTTGGGATTAAAGATCTTCATAGTTGGAACAAAGCTCTAATGTTGAGGTACATCTGGTACATTATCTATGACAAGGAAAATCTTTGGGCTAACTGGATCAAAGTGAACTATCTCAAGATGAAATCTTTTTGGGAAGTTAGACCCACCTCAGATTTGTTCATGGAATTGAAGGAAACTCTTGAAACTCAGGCACACTGCCAGGCCATTGATTCTTCACACTATTGGAGATGGTAAATCAACACACTTGTGACATGACAATTGGCACATGCATGGGCCTTGTCTTCTTAAATGGTCAGAGAGAATCATTGAATTTGCAAATCTGCCATCTACCACAAAGGTAGAAACCATTGTTAATGGTACCTGCTGGGCATGGTCTTCTTCAGGTACTCCTGAGCTGCTGCAAATTCTCAATTCTATGTCGTCCTATAATCCCAACATTATACTGCCCATTCAGCATGGAAATCTTTTTAAACCTCTGGTCCTAAGGTTCCTTGGCACAAGCTTGTATGGTACCCTCAATACATCCCTAGGATGTCTTTTGTTCTCTGGATTGCTATTCATGGGAAGCTTGGAACGAAGGATCGAATCAAGACTTATATGCAAACATTAATACGACATATGTGTTTTGTAGGCTAACAGAGGAAAGTATCAACCATCTGTTTTTTGAATGCCCTTTTACAATTGAAATATGAAACAAGGTGCTTAGTCATTCTATGGCCTCTTGGTTCCACCCATGTTGGTTACCAGCTATCCACTTAGCCTCCAACCAGTGGAAAGGGAAATCCCTCAAATCCATTGTGCTCAAACTTAGCCTTTCTAGTTCTGTCTATACGATTGGAGAGAAAGAAATGCTAGAGTCTTCAAGAATGAATTTAGGGATGCAACTATCATTTTGAAGTCCATCCTTCATGTTATTAGCAGTAATCTTCTCACTGCCATCTTCAAACAATCCACCCGGAATATTGCTTTTCTCTAGCATTGGAACAATTATGTGTCTAATGTTTGGTCCTATAATTTTCCATCATGAATGCTCTGAACTGCCATAAGTTCTGTCACAAGGCAGAACTTATTGCAGTTCAAGTGCTTGGCCCCTGTTTTTGTTTTTTTGGTCTGTTTGATAAACAGATAGGTTCTTTACATGTACATGTAATTTTGCAAGATAAATATATTTTACTTTCCCAAAAATAATAAGAGTGACCTTACCACTGAAGGCGGCAACTGTGGCCGGAGTACTCTATTATTGAGAGTACAAGTTAGTTAGAGAAAGAGAGGGAGAGAGCAAGAATACATTCAAGGTGAGGTATGTGTCCTCCGTGTAGAGATAGTTGTCTGTCTCTCATGTGTAGATAACTTATAATTTATAGGCACGAGCCCTAGCTGAGGCAATGACGTGAATGTTATGCTACTAGTCTTTCGGGGAGGATAGCTACAATTAAGTATAGGTGCTATTTTCAAGTAATGGCTATCTCGATATTTACTCTTCACATGCGTTGATCTTCTTAGACTTTTGAATTTTGGACGAGATTAAGGCCATAAGCTAAGTTTGACGTGTTTTTTGATGATTTGGGCTCAACCCATCAATTAGGCCTTAGTCTGATCTAAATCTAGGCTCGTCAATAACATCTTGAGACTATCCTATGGCTTTTAATTGTGCTGAAAAGAATTAACACATTTGGTAGTTGGAGTGATCTAATCTACTTTTCTCCCCCATACCTCCACAATGGATGAAGATGGCATAGGCGAGGGCGAAGGTGAGGGCAAAAGCAAAGGCGAAGACTATTTATGACAAAAAAAATTAATATTTACATGGACTATTTATAATATTTAAAAATTTAAGATCTTCTTTAAGAATGGAGCTAAAGCTCAAGCTTTTTCAACACACTGTTTGGCTGTTCCTGCACAAACTGAATGAGTAAACACCACTGCCCCATGTAGACACAAACACCACCACCCACTGCCATGCCTTTCCACACCCACGACACCACCACCAAGCCTCCATTACTCACAGTATCGAATCTAAAACATTTCAATCAAAAACATCACAGTTGACAAATACCAGATTGATGACAAATTGAAGATCACAAAAGGTTGAACCATGGCAGTTTTGCGTAGTGGTTCGACATGACATCTTTTATATATAAGTAAAAGGGTTTGAGGACAAGTTAATTTGTAAATTTTTATCTGCATAATTCACTACTTTTACCGTGAACATTTTTCATGTTTTCTGTCACTATTGTGACTATCACTTTTGCGGCTGCTGAACGGATTCACTATTGCGACTATCACAGTGAATATTACATACAAACCTCTTAAAGTTTGTAAGTCCGTAACACTTACACTTTTACCGTCAATGTTCATATATCAATTAATAAATTATATTCAGACTCCCTGAAATTAGTAGGCTATAATTTTTAGATTTCTCAAGTTTAAAATGTTATATTTAGACCACAAAAACTCCAAATAAAGATACAATATCTAATATTTTAATTTTTACAACTAAAATTCATGT